CCTCACTGTTACTTCTGTCTGGGCTAAAGGCAATTGGAGATCTAATAATCGTTGCAACGCCATTTTCACGTACTTTTCTAACCGAAAGTGACTCATCCACTCTAGTTTGTTGCTGTTCAGATAAATGAGCAAACGGTCTCGTAGCAGAGGTTTGTGGAATAAATTCCGAGTTTTTTTGTAACCTTCGTAAACGTTGCAATAATAAGGGAACTAATCGAGCATTTGATTCTCTACAATTAATAAAAATGATTTTTGTATTTTCTTTTTATAATTAAAAAAAATTAGAACAAATTCAAGAATCATCATGTGGCTTAAAAATCGACGTTTTTTTTTTAATTAATGTGAAATGACCCAAAAAATACGTTAAAAATAAAACCCAAATGCTTCTGGTTTTAGATCTAGTCTTAGTTCTACTTTTCGTTCAATCAAAATATACCACAATCTAACGCTAAATAACATTTAAAACTAGAACTAACACTAGACCTTGAACTAGCAACAGTCTTGGTCTAGTCTTCTGTTAATGAAACTAAATATTGCGTTTAAACGATGATATTTATTGTATATAAATTAGATTTCTACCGGTTTCGACTGTGTGACAGTCATCTTCAGGAAATCGACATCATCGAATATAAATGGAATATAATCTTACTGTGTAGTTGAAAAAATTTTTCAACTACAGAGTCTCAACTTCACAGTAAGAGACATAACCACAATTAACCTGTTGTCATACCTAAAACTATACACTTTGCTTGTCACATCTGAAATTAAATTAATGAGTTATTATAATAGTTTATTGTGAAGGAACTTTCAGATTTCGTTTCGATGAGCTCCCGTATAAGTTTATATTCGATGACGTCGATTTCCTGAAGATGACTGTCACACAGCCGAAACCGAAACCGCAAACCGAAACTTTAGAGGAACTTGAAGCAATTGTTGATCTCAACGAAATAATTGATATTTGTTGTTTCATACGAAGTTGACAATTTGACCAATGAGGAAGATATTGATGAAGAAACTATCGGTGGAATACAAGTTTTGCCATCTGATATTGTCGGAACATTTGAAATACTATTACCAGGAAAAAAATAGTGGTGACCGTTATTTATAAATAGGTGGCGACTCCCGCTATAACCAGAAGTATTAGAACTCTGAAAATATTTTAGTCGAACAGAACGTAATTGATAATGCTAAAGTCCGAATCCTCAAATTTTTATTTTGGCCAGAACCCCACAAACGTCTAATGACCGGTCTCGCTGAGACACGCTGTATAATAAATATTACACTATTTAACAGATAGTGCAATATATTCAGCACCTTCATAATATACAAGAAGATAAATCCATATGGAAAAATGCGGTATAAAAATATTTGTTATCAGTTTGGTTAACAGCAGAAGTAGATGAAATGCAGCCCTCCACATCACGAGGTACTGGTCCAACTTCAACACCATCTGGTAGATTGTCTGGTGATATGAAGAAACACACCCTGGAGGTATTACAGCCAACAAAAAACAAAAAATACCCCATAAGAGTATGCGTGGTGTGTAAGGTACATCGGAAAAGAAGCGAAACACGATATATGTATATGCAAATTCTGTGAAGTACCATTACACAAAAGAAGCAGTTTTACAGACTATTATACTAAAAAAAATCTAATAGTTATGTACAAATTTTGTAAATTTCAATAAAATACAGTATGTGCACGGAAAAGGTGTTGAATAGGAAAAACTTTTTTATTTTTACTATGAAAATGATGAAAATGAAGCACTTTGTTGGTATTACATTCAGTAGAGGAACACCAGAAATTATCACTAAGAAGAAGAGCTGAAAATCTCCAATTTGTTAAAAAGTCACAAATTCAGAAGATATTAAAACACAACAAGATACATCCATACAAGCCAATTTTTAATCATGTTTTGGAAGTCGGCGATGAAGCAAAACGTTTGGATTTTTGTTTGTGGGTTGGCAGAATGGAAAGAGGATTTCATAAGAAAATAATGTTTTCTGATGAATCAACTTTTTCGACCAATTGGTGTTGTGGCTTCGCAACATGCACGATATTGGAGTGACTCTAATCCGCATTTTCTAATACCACGGAGGCGTTAGTACTGTGCTAAAGTAAATGTGTGTGCGCCATACTTCTTTGACACTACTTGTAATGCGAATAGTTATTTAGCTATGTTAAGAAATTTCCTCGGCGGTGAATTAGACAATCTTCCATTAGAATACCGTCGTTCATTTTATTTTCAACAAGATGGATGCCCAGCACATTATGCGGCAACAGTTAAACCATACGTTTCCAGAACACTGGATTGGGAGACAAGGACCAGTTCAGTGGCCTCCTAGGAGTCCAGATTTAATATTAATGGATTTTTTCCTATGAGGAAATTAAAACAAATTGTTTATCACACACCAAATAAATGCCACTGATCAATTAAATGATGCGATTAGAGATGCTTTTACTTCAATATCTTTACATAAGCTTAGAAAAAGTTTTTCACACTGTATATACAGTGCGTCCATAAACTAAAGGATATAGGCGATAAAATCATTATAAACGGTTTATGGAAAAATCCCTGAAACGGGTCTAAAGACTTAAATTTTTTGTCCACACAAAAGCACCTTTTGTTGCACCTCCCCTGAAACATTTGGTCGGGCACAGTTTTCGATCAAGAAATGTTGCATTAAGTAATCTTACTAAATCAGTTTTTGACACTTAGGGCATTATTTAAAATAATTGGTTTCCATAGTTACTCATAGCTACTGCTATTTTTATAATGTCAAACAAATTTGAAGTAGTTAAACTTTAAAGTAATTTTTCTCGAAAATTTTGTTATGTAACTAATATTAATATTGACTGTACTAGATTCAGAAAAAAATCTTCTTTCATATTCCGTAATAAAAATGGGGGATTGCCATATGAAAAAAATATCGATGACGTCATAACTTGTTTAGAAATGACGGAAAAAATTTAAAATCTACACCAAAAAATTGCAAAAAATTTAAATCTTTAGACCCGTTCAGTGATTTTTCCATAAACCGTTTATAATGATTTTATCGCCTATATCCGTTACTTTACGAACATACTGTATAAACAAGTTATAAAACGCCCGATTAGCTAAGAGACATGGAATTTTTTTGTATTTTTACCAGAACAAGTATGCATTGGCCTCTTACCCGGTGCCCGCTTAACGTTAAGTTTCGGGACACCTGTATAGATAGACTGTGTATCAATTGATACAAAAAGCCACAACCGAAATGTCTTTATTTACCATCTACCTACTTGTGTGGATCTGAATAATCTTGAGTGGGTGGGTTTGTTATGTTAACATAACAAACCCACCCACTGCTCCATGCCCAACCTGATATTTGGGACATTTGCACTAGTTTAAATGTTAATTAACCTAACTCAAAGTCGAATTTCTACACAAAATTCTGAAATAAATCAGTAAATTAGGTGGATCCGAATGTTAGGTTTAAAGCGGGGGTTAGGGTATCAGGTAGGGTACAAGGTTTGTAAAGCGTATTGTACCGTATTGTATTTGGTACAATACGCTTTACAAACCTTGGTAGGGTATAGATTTTAGGTTATCTTTACTTTATAAATGAAAACAACAACATTTTAATCGTTGTGCTTTGAAAATCTAAGAAACAACCGTATTTCACCCAAAAAATACGTTTTAACCAAATGTGCTGCAAAAATATATGGTTAGCATGATAAATGACGTCACAAAATGTGACGTCACGTCGAAACTTTAAAGTAATTTCTCAGTAAGTTTTACACTATCAACTCTTTTTTTATATTTGTAATGGTTTACTTGAGTAATTTCCCATTGATTAAAAAAAATTGTTGATTTTTAAGCCACATGATGATTGTTGAATTATACCAAAAAGGAAATTTTTTTACCTAAATCTGGTTGCTATATCTGGAATTTCCATTGCTGCGGCTAATAACCCAGTAGCATAACTTTGTAATGGTTCTATTGATTCTGTGGTCCATTTTATCAATCTATAAATTAAACTATCCATATCAGGCTAAAAAAATCACTCAATTAGTCCCGTCTTAAATTTATAATTAAATTAAAACTTACTTGAAAGACAACCGTTGTTTCTAAACCAGGCATTATATCTAACATTAACCTACAAGCAGCTATATTTAATTGATCTACATCTCTCCCAGTTATATTAAGTCTGCTATAATAGGTATCACGTAAATAATCGTTAACAAGTTTAGTCATGAAATTATCTTTTCTAAACAAAGCTTTTAATATTTGTCCCAAATTACAGTTTGGATCAGTCCGTGAAGGATGTCTTTCATCGAAGGGATCAGGATCGGTTTTCAAATAATTCACAGTTTCCAATTCAATGATTTCTGCTAATCTACAATTTATAAAAATCGTTTTAACAAAAAAATAAATAACGTTTACCGATAACATACTTTGTTAATGTTGGTACAGGATTGTAATTTGGCGTGGAGTATTCATCTTCCCATCCACGCATAAGGGCCGTAACGTCGGACATAACTTTATTAGAATTCGTGGATTCCATCGTTTCTTTTTTAAGTTACACAATGCAAAGACATGAGGCGAATGCACATAACCTCACAATTATGGGTTATGTCCACGGGATTGCCAACGAACCTCTATTACTAAACTTTTCTGTTGTTTCGAATATGTAAGTTTTAATTATTGAAGAAATAGAATCACAAGATTTCGAGAAATAATTAAAGTTTATGTATTTTACTTTCAACACAATCAAGCGCTTCAGCCTGTCTTGGTCTGTTTGCGGCTAAATTCGTTTGTATCACAGAATGGAAAATACCACAACACAACAACTCTTTGTGATTAATAATCATCGAATCTTTAAATCCTCAAATTGTTATATTTCAATATTATTTCATAAATGTTTTAAATAATTAATAACGAAATTAATATAAATAAAACAAAAATTAATTACAAAGAAATATTTATGTTGGTATTGCAACATATTTTACAAGCAAAATAATCCTGTCAAAACTGTCAAATTTAAACGGAAACCTAACCATACTTTATTGCGAATTTTTGGAATAACTTAATTTAAAATGTTAAAAGCGATGAAAGTTAGTTTATGTTTAAAAAGAAATTCGTCATCGTTAGGAGTTAAAATGAAAGCATGGCAAATCCATTCATACGGAGATTTATCAGAATTACAACTTTCTGAACCTCGGGTTCCGATTATAGAAAAACCCACTGATGTTCTTGTACAAGTTAAAGCTGCGTCTGTTAATCCGGTAGATAAAATGATTATAGGTATTTAAATGAAATTAGGAATAAATTTTAAATTAATATTAAAAATGGAAATAGGTGGATATGGAAGAGAACTTTTAGGTTTTTTAAGAAATTACGAACTTGAATTCCCTTTAACGTTAGGGAGAGATTTTTCTGGAATTGTTATTGGTAAAGGACATGATGTGGGTAAAGATATTAAAATTGGTGATGAAGTTTTTGGTATTTTAACACCACAAACTCAAGGAAGTCATGCACAAGCTGTTAGAGTTTGTAGTAGCACGGTAAATACATAAAAAATATATTTAGAAAGATATTTTTATTCATCAATTTGGGTTATTGAAGGTTTGTCTTAAACCAAAAAACGTTAATCATATTGAAGCCGCGTCTCTAGCTTATGTAGGAGTTACAGCTTGGTCTGCTTTATTTCTAACAGGGGAATTAAAATTTCGATCCCCGAGAAATACCACTGTACTAATTTTAGGCGCTTCTGGAGGTGTTGGAACGGTAGCTACACAAATATTAAAATCACAAGGAGCTATTGTAAGTTTAATATGTATTAATTTCATTTTTTAATGGATATTATTTAAGGTTGTTGGGACTTGTTCAGAAGATGCCATGCCGTTAATTCGGTCTTTAGGTGCTGATCAAACGTTTAATTACAGGGATAAAAACTATGTGACAAATGTTGCTGAATGTGCTAAGTAATAAAATATAAAGGCTTTGTTTGTTATAAAATTTGTTTTTGGTAGGTACGACATAATTTTGGATTGTGCTCAAATTGGGTATAGAAATATACCAAATTCTTGGTGTTATAAAAGGTATATAACATTAAATTCACCTTTATTATCAAATACTGATAAATATGGATTTATTGGCGGTATGGCTGTGAATGCGGCTGATGTTATTGCATCAAATTTCCCCAAAATTTTTGAAGGCAAAACAGTTAGATGGGGATTTGTTTTACCAAGCAAAGAAGGGCTACAATTTATAGCATCTCTAATTCAACAGGAAAAGGTATAATTGAATTATTTATTTCAGAAAGGGACTAACTAGGGAAGTAACACAATTGTGGCACGACGCGTGTGAAGTTGGCCATAGATTTTAATCTGAAAAAAAATTCGTGATCTAATTTCAACGGCATCGTATTCATGGTTGCTTCTTGTTTCAGATTCGAAAAGAAAATTTTTCTAATCATTTCCTATAGTCCGGGAAAATCGATTTTCTTCAAACTTTCGCAAAATTCGGCCCGTTCGGGGTTTTTAATCGATCTAATTTCAACGGCATCGTATTCCTGGTGGCCTCTTGCTTCAGATTCCAAAAGAAAAATTTCCTAACCATTTCCTATAGTCCGACGTCATAGGCCATTAGCACTCACAATAATTTCACTCAGGACCACATAGTAGCACATTAAGAGTATTCAAAGTTGGTCGAATAGTTGTATGTCTTTAAAATATTTAATCAGATTCAATGAGTTTAATATAGTTTAATATTTCTTGCTTGTTCATATAATGTACATTCTACAATGATGTGTTCTAAAGTGAGTTCCCTATTACAATTTGAACACATGGGTCTCTGCTCCCCTTTTAACATATACAGGGTGTCTCACGTAACTGGTTCGTTAGAACTTTTTTAGGTTCCACTATTCATAGAGGTTTGAAATTTTGGTAGCATGGGTTATATTAATTTTCCAATATCAGGGAAACTACAATAAATAGGTATAGGAATGTTTATAGATAATTTGTAGAGAATTAAATTCCCTTTCTGATAAGGTAAAGAAATATGGGGTGTTCCATTTAAAATTTTCGACTTTCTCGCAATTGAATAATGAGAAACGATAATTCAATTTTTGACCAGCCTGTATAAGATTCTCTGATACAACAAATGACAATCTATTTGGCAGCATCTGTAGAGTAGTTGTGCCAATGCAGAGCTTTTTTGAATGATCGTTAGCTGAGATATGGGCTTTTAAAGACCATGGGGAAATTTGTCAAAAAACACTTAAAATCAAAATAACTCGAAAACAAAAAACGCTAGGTACCAACAACTTTTATCAAAGTCAACATATTTTTTTACGTATAATTGAAAGGTGTAATAAAAACTATAGCATTCCATTTAAAATAACGAAGTTGTGGTCTACTTCCGGTAGACCGGAAGGGGTGGCCATCTTGAAAATATTTTAGATCGAAAGTTTGGAATGAACAACCCATGCTACCAAAATTTCAAACCACTACGAATGGTGGAACCTTAAAAAGTTCTAACGAACCAGTTACGTGAGACACCCTGTATTTGGAGGTCAACGATGTATGGCCAATGCGCAATCTACTTAGTTTCACTTGTTCTGACCTGCTTAATTCCCTTTCGGAACTTATTCGATAGACATAGGGTTTGATTTTTCTCAAGAAACTTGGAGTATTTTGCCATTGTTCTTCCCAGCTGTTATAAATCAAGGATCTTACATGTTTTGCAATATCTTTATGTCTGCAAAAGTTCACATCCATTGTTGCTTTATCTGCAGCCTCGGATGCTGCACAATCGGCACGTTGATTCCCCCCAATTCCAACGTGACTTGGCACCCATATAAAAATAACTTTATGATTTTATTTTGTAATGCTGTCTAGTGTGCCTAAGATTTGTTGTAGCATTGCTTCTTTTGTGTACAGGTTTTGTAAGGATTTGATACTACTAAGCGAATCACTTATTATTAGAAAATTGCGGTTATTGAGGTTCATATTTATGTATAGTAGTGCTTGAAATATTGCATATAACTCTGCAAGAAATATTGAGGAACATGGTTGAAGCGTCCAGGAATGTTCTGTATTATCGACTGATATTGCACTACCAACACCGTTTTCTTTTTTTGATCCATCAGTGTAAACACAAAAGGCATCAGGATAAGTATGCATTATGTTGTGAAAATCAGCAAGAAACATTGCTTGGGGGGCGTTTGATTTTGAAAATTACCATTTCTTATATTTCGGAAAAATCGATTTTCTTCAAAGATAAGCATATGTCGGCCTATTCGGGGTTTCTAATCGATCCCATTTCAACGGCATTATATTCCCGGTCGCTTCTTGCTTCAGAATCAAAAAGAAAATTTTCCTTATATTCCGGGAAATTCGTTTTTCTTCAAACAATCGGCAATCCAACAATTAATTGGACAATTGTTTATAAGTTTGTGCTTTTCTAGTTTCAATAGTCATTGGATCCAAAAATAAAACTTGCTGATCTTCAACATTTGCTACCATTAGCATCTAATGACTACTACGTAATATAGGGAAAAAATATTTTTGGAATTTGCTAATTGTTTTTGGTAAAAACCCGTTCATAATACTTTCTACTTCTCCCTGACAAAATATTTTAATATTTTTATCCTTTGCCAATATTCTCAATGCATAATCAACGACTAAATTATCCAACCACATGTCTTGTTTGTTCATTTTGCAATTGATTGTATCAAAGCTTTCGTAGTAAAGCTTTTCGTTATTAAATTTTGCAACGACATAATTTTTTTACATTAGGAATTTGATTAATATAAGATCATTTTTTCGGCAGGTCTGTTTTAACTTTCTTTAAGTACGCCGCTTTTATGTGTAAATACGTCTGTTTTTTTTTTGTTTTCCCCAAGATTCTTCAAATTCTTTTGCAGGCTATCGTGCGCGCGTTGCACATTTAGTTCTTTTAATATTATATCTGACTTCGTTGTATTAACTTAGAACATAATACGAATAAATCTGGACGGTTTGTCTCTTAAATCATTTTGATTGAGAATATGGTTTTTAAAAATGTTGAACCAGTTTTCAACCAAATTGTTGTGTTGTATTGGTTTTAATAAAATTATGGAAAAATGTATATGTATATATACATATAAAAATATAAAAAACTTCTTACTTGCTTAAATTTTAAATATTTATTGGAACCGGTTTCGACACATAAAGGTCATCATCAGCCAAAATGTCATAAATGAAGAAAATGCTAACGTTGAATTTTATAAAAATAACACATTGAATATTAAAATATTCAATGTGTTATTTTTATAATACCAATCCTGCAGGAAAATAGTTGTCTAGCTAATTTCTTACCACCCTACCATGATAAGCTGCACAATCATCAAGTTGAAAGCAGGCCTTGTTTCTTAAAGCTAAATCAATGTCATCCCACATATTGGCATGTTCAGCTACCAAAAATTATAAGAATGGCGCGAAAAAAGTGTACTGTCAGAAAAGTTATTGTTATTTTAATCCGTAAAGAATACGTTACAGAGCCGTCTACCGGCTATAGTAAAACGGACTCCATAATCGTCTTTCTCATGTCAAAAAACCTCCGTAGACCAAATTTGAAAAGAATCGGTTGAAATACACGTGTAATATTAAACAAAAACTAATTAAAAAATAACTTTAACACCCTGTATCTTCAAAACAAAGCGTTTGTCGACCTATATTTATATCAAGCTTTTGTGCTAATTTTAAAAGATCTATCGACTGTTAAAGTCCTGCTACAAAAATCTGAAACAGCCTGTATATTAAAATTGCAGTCCCTAACCCCAATTGTCTTCACCTAGGTTTACAAATGTTTTTAAATATGCATGGTTTGCATATTTTTAGTGGATATCTAGATGAGAGACCATTTTGAAAATCCCGTGAAAATTTCCTGTTCCTAGTGAAAAGCCAACGTGTGATATCTGTGGGGATGTAGCGGTCATAACATGTGCATGGTGTCAATGCTTATGTTTAAGCTATTTTCGCCCTCTCGCTATACATATCTTACAGAAAAATCGTAGCACCACTGTAGAATTTAAAAAAATCGATTTTTTTTATCGGCCTTAAAGATTCTTGACACCTTGTAGAATAAGAAGAAAACAATTCAATATTTGTAAACAATATTGTTTCGCGAAATTTCTGCTATTTGCCGACCTATCAATCAGGAACACTCCGTAACTACATTACAGTAGTATACACGAAGGACGTGAATATTTCGTACACTAAAAACGCGAGGTATATTGTATAGTGTTTTGAATCGATTTTTCTCAAATTATTTGTAGTCGAAATGATTTCTAGTATTACAATGAGTGACAAAAAAGTGTACACGGGCAAAAACTCACGTCAAAGCTTTAAATTCGTTTTTCTCGAAACACGATTTTTTAAAACGGCACGCAGCATAACTCGAACAATTTTCATTCAATCAATTTAAACTTGTTACCACATAATTAAAATTACATTCTACAAACTCGGCTCAGGGGTTTTTACCTCATGTATAAAAAAATACGTAAACCTTATTTTGGTCCATTCTATGGCTGTACCAAATTTCATCAAAATCGGCGTGCCACAGTTCTGTTCCTTCCCTTGTGAGTCAAATAGAACATTTCTTGAATAGGTATTTCTGGCAAGTGGACGTTTTGCATTCAGCAGTAGAGTTCTTCAACGATGTGTAAAATTTTCTTGCTCGTTGTTTATGTATCATCAATTCAGCAACTGCTGCATGCTTGGCATGTTCTCCTAAGGTTGAACTTTTTATTTTCATATTAAGTTCTTTACACTTGCAGCATATATCTTAAATATAATCTACTTGAGGACGGCCAAAATGTAGATGATTGTACATAAGATTATACATAATTTTAAAGTTGAGCTTACCAAGATAATAGTAATCCTTATTTGGGTAATGTGTTTCTTTTACTGGAAACGATTCGATGTGTCCTTTTAGTCCATTTCCATGTAAACTAGGAAAGGCGATTTGGCACACTTTACGTTTTTGTTCTTCTACTTCATGAATGTAGTGGAAAAATGAACAACTTTTTTGTCTCTGCATTATTGCGTTTTTGGGTTTTGATCTCCTTTGAACTTCATGCACTTCTAAAAGGCCTTGTAAGATCTTGTTCATGTTTAGTATTAAATTCTACGTATAGGTTTAGTCGGGTAATTGTTAGCCGTCAAACTGACAGTTTGTTAACGCTAACGATACTTAGTACCTTTCTACAGCAAACAAAATATTCTCTCCCCACAATAAATGTTAAAGACTTATGAATCATACTTCCTTTCTACACCCAAAGATAGATCTACAAAGAGATAGTACAGATATACACTTATCTCAAAATTGTCAAAAATCTTACTTAGCCCCTTTCTGAAATAAACGATTCAATTATGTTTTAATTTTTGTGAAAATGTTAATTTTTTTTTCAGTTAAAGCCCATAATACATAAAGTGTTTAAATTCAATGAAGTTCCAGAAGCTTTCGAGGTATTCAACAAAGGAAAAATTCGCGGTAAAATTATAGTAGATTTTTCTAATGTATAGTATTAAAATTTGAAACAATATATAGTTAATATTATAAACAGTATATTAACAAATATAAAGAGTACTTAAAAAAATGGAATAGATATTTTTTATAACATTGTAATAATAAGTAAATTGTTTAACATCCTCTCTTGTAACACACCGAATATGACTAAATATTTATATTGTAACAATTCTGGAATGTACTCGTAATAAATTGAGCTTTATCAAATAATTCTTGAATAATTTTTGCCACAGCATGACGATGCTCGGCGTCGAGCGCTTGGTATATTAACAAATATAAAGAGTATTTACAAAAACTGGAATAAATATTTTTTATATCATTGTAATAATAAATGAATTGTTTAACATGGTTCTTAATCGTGTTGAACGAATTTTAGAGCATCCTCTCTTGTAACACACCGAATTTGACTAACCTTATCTTTAAATGTAATCCCATAACACTTATTGGCATATTGTAACAATTCCGGCCGAAATGTACTCATAATAAATTGAGTTTTATCAGATAATTCTTGAATCATTTTTGCCACAGCACAGCGATGTTCGACGTCGAGCGCTTGGTCGACTTCATCCAACAAATAAAACGGTGCCGGGTCGCATTTTTGTATAGCAAAAATCAACGATAAAGCAACCACAGATTTTTGTCCACCAGATAATTCATTCAGCTGTTTCATCTCATCATCTTCATTGGTGAATGCTACCTTAATTAAAATTCCAGTAAATACATCGGTGTCGGTATCTTCCGGACCGATTTCACGACCGTCACTGTCGTCTATGGTTTTCATTAAAAACTTTGCTCGTCCCGTAGGTACTAATTTCTCAAAAATTTCTTTAAAATATTGCGAGATTTGACGGAAAGTGAAATGAATCGCTTCCATTTTCATTTCTTCTAACTTGTTTAAAAGTTCTTTGATCTTTTCGTGTCTAAAAGAAAATTAGCTGTATATTTTTTAAACGCATTATTCAAAGATAAATTTACCCTTTGAATAATTGTTCTTTTTGTTTAGCAAGCCGTTCTTTTTCATCGCTAATACGTATAAATTGTTCTAAGGCCTTGTTATTTACACAACTGTATTTTGTAAGGGAATTATGTGTTTTTGTTAATTCTCGAAGTAACTGAAATTAAAGTATACATTTTAATCGTTTCGCCAAAATAAAACTAATTAGGAGAATATATACTTAGAATGTAAAAATAATGGCGCAACCTAGGAAAATTCTAATTGCTTTGCTGGAAATGGAGAGAGTGGGAATACAGATCATGGGGGGTGAGCAAGATGAAATGGTACAACGCTAACTACTGTGACATAAAAAGCAATGAATGTTACCAATAAACACCAACATAATCCAGGTGAAGACCTCCAGTGAGGTACAATTAAAAGAGTTTTACTTTCAGATTGAAAATATTATAAAGAAACTTCCTAAACAGGAACTCTTTCTTATCTTGCTGAGCAACTTTAATGCCAACATAAGCAAAGGAAGAGCAGGAAGCACATTGGACCTCATGGATTGGGTATCAGAAATAATACCAATGATCTGGTGATAATGAACTGCCAGACGTATGTCTACTACAGACTATACAGGGTGATTTTCAACCTATACGCATAAACTTGGGGATTTATTTCCCAAATAATGGGTAATGGGTGAAAAAAATTGTAGTAAAAGATTTTTAATTTCATAGATATCCGATCAGATAGAAATTGCTGCCGACAATCCACAAACACCCTGGTTTAGGCCGTGCTATCATATCATCTTCAAAGCGTACAGTCTTTGCTTCCAGAAATCATCTTACACAGCAACACCAAACGATCTCATCTGTTTAGAACTGGTACCACCATACTTGCTAGAGTTGCCTACAGAAATGATGGATGCCGAAATTTAGTAACGAGATGAAGAATGATATGTACGGAAAATGTATCAAAGAATCAGATAGAACTCCCTCGAAAAACCGTCAGATAGCCTTCCTCTGTTACGTTAATCTAACCAAAACGTTCGACGAAGTAAGGATAAAAGAATTAGAACAGGGCAAACATTACAAAGTATGTAATGTAAACTATGGTTGGACTATGAATGATTATAAAATCAAGATTGAGTGCTACGCAGATGATACCGTCCTCTTGGCTGATACTGAGGATGGCATACAATGATTAACAGAAGCATTTAACATTGCAGCTGAGGAAGTGAATACCGAGGAAATTAATACTAAGCAAGGATTGCGAAATCAGGTACAAACTGCTCGGAGGCAATCTGCCAACACCCTGGTTTAGGCCACACTAGTCGGACATCGTGGATTCAGCGAACCCAATTGTGTATACAAAATATTAGAAACAACTTGGAACACTTACTTTGATGTCATTTTAAAATCTTATATGAATTCTTGATTTGAAAGTAAATTTCATGGATATCTAGGAAACTAAAAAACTTTTGTTGCAATATTTTTCACCTATTATTCATTATTTGTCATGAGGAATAAATCCCCAAGTTAGAAGATTAATTAAGAATACCTGGACTTCTCTCAGAGATGATGAGTAGATAATATCTGATATCTCGTTATCTGCCATAACGAGATATCTGCCGGTTCCAAGCCCGGATAAAGGAGGAAGGGCCTCCCTGTAACTTGCGTCACCTCAAGGAGTAGGAAGACAATATTATTTAGACTTCTGAAGCAGAGAAGGAACCAGGCTAGAGCGCTGTGGAAATTGAAATTAAATGATGGCTTTGATGGCGACTTTTGGCATGAAGAGAAGAACGAGAATGGGTTTTTGAAATCTTAGAACCCTGATGAATACCAGTCGGTTGAAACAGGTGTAGAAAGAGATGATTGCTTATAAATTAGCCGTTCTTCATATTCAAACATACGAGGAACTAACATTTTTGTACTCGGGCCCTACTGGAGATGGCGCGGAACACAGAAATGAGTTGGTTCCTTGTTGGCCCTGGTTTCCAAAAGACGAAGATACGATATGTCACTATTGTGCAATGCTACGTTCCTACAGAACCCTCAGACATTGGGTAGAAAGAGGGTTTTAAACGGGCAGAGAACGAGACCAAAGAAAAGATCAGCAAAAAGGATATCTAAGCACTACCTCAAGGTTATATATTGTTAGAGAATAACCAAAAGAAGTGAGAGAGATGAAGGATTTATCTGGAGACACGTGTTGTTGTCTGGCTGTGCACCAACCGGCAGTTGCCGTTGGAGTACGGCGTTATTCACATCGTGCATTATTCTATTACAGTTTATTATTTTTATGTTAACGGTTTTATATTAAAATAGTTTGAAAGAAAGAGTAATATTAATATTATTGAGTTCTGGGCGATATTTTTCCTTATATCTAACAATATATATGGGTATCAAATGACCACACTACAAAGAACCAGATAGACCATATAGCACTGAGCATGAAGTTTAAAGGATCTTTAATGGACGTTAGAAACAAACGAGGAGCCGACTCTGGCAGCAACCACCACCTTATTGTTACAACCTTCGAACTGAAGATTGTGGCTGCTAAAAGAATATTCGAGCAAAAGAGTAAGCAATTCAATATAAGTAAATGAAAGGTGCCAGCAAAACAAGAAGGATTCTGTATAAAACTGAGAAATCGCTTTGAGTCAGTATCGGAACAAGAACAGGAAGACAGTGACGTTGAAGATACATTGGTCCAAATCATGTGATATAAGTGAGAGAGTCCTTGGCTTCAGAAATAACCTCAAGAATAACTGGATGACAGAGAATACGTAGGATCTAATTAGTCGTAGAAAAGAGATCAAAGCACAACCAAATATTAGCGAAATAAGGTAGCAAAAATACTCTGCCTGTCTCTGTACTTGGAACAGGCAAAGTATACGGACACCGACCATCTAGTAAAGAAAAGTATGAGAAGTCATAACAGGAAGTGGATAGACGAACAAGCATACAGTACAGAGCTTGCTAAAGCAAGATTTGATGTCAAAGAATTATAAGCATTACAAAAATGGTGTTTAGGAAGGGATTCAATAATACTAGCCTATATTAGGTTAGGATGGACAACTGTTGAGAATACAAGAAGTTCAAGATATGAAAAGAACATTTCTTCAATGTACTAAATAGAGGACAAGAAAGAATAGGCAATCTAAGGAAATGAAGGAGTCAGTGATGCTGGAATTAGCATAAAAACACCAACTTGTAATGAAATTAAAACAGCCCTCAAGGAGATCAGGTAAGGGAAAGGCACCAGGTGTGGGCAATATTGCACTTGAAGTACATAAAACAAAACATTGAGACTCCTGTTGGATTATTACACCCATTACTTATGAAGATAGGGACAGAAAAACAGTTATCTAGAGACTGGCACCATGGATTAATAGTAAAGGTACGTAAGAAACAGGACACTACTAATTGTAGGAACTGGCGAAACATACTGTCAGTGCCAAGTAAAGCACTATCGGGGATAATCCTAAATCGGATTAAGTATTCCGTGGAAAAGCGTTTGAGGAGGGAGCAAGCCGCTACGAGTACACTCTACTTGGCAATCATCGACGATTTAATAGAAGAATCATGTCGCATACTCTGGAATATGGGGTCCCTCTGAATGTGATCAATGTTATCAGGGAGATGTATGAGGAGTGTGAGTGTGAACCGGTGCATAATGGAAAACTTACCGATCCTATCTAGGCAATTTGTGGGGTGAGACAAGGGTGTATTCTATCACCCACTGGTTAATCTGTTGTCTTCGTATTGGATAGGGTGATAAGAAACGTTACAGAAGGAAGTAGAAATTATATTCAATGGAGGATGAAAGAGAAGAGAACTTGCGGACCTTGAGTTTGAAGACGGCATTTGCCTAGTTTAATAGAAATTTTATAACATTGAAATAAATTTAAGAAAACTGCAAGATGAAGCAGAAGCAGTAGGGCTAAAAGTTTAAAAAACGAGGGAGGTGAGGATCAATTCTGTTTTGAAGCTAACTTCACAGTATTTCACAACATTTCAAAAAGAACAACGTAAAGTCAGTCCTCCTGTATGGGTGTGCAACATGAAAGGTCGTCAAGGGGATGTCGAACAAATTACAGGTGTTTATTAATCAATGCCTGCGACGCATTATAAACGTGAGGTGGCCGGAGTTGAAATTCAATAAAGATTTGTGGGAGAGAACAAAGCAACAACCCATTAGTCATCAAATCAATGGGAAGAAATGGCGTTGGATTGGCCACATGCTAAGGAAGCCTCATGGAGCAGTTGAGATGTCAGCGCTTGACTGGAATCTCCAAAGAGCACAGAGACGAGGGTGCTTAAGAAAGAACTGGAAGAGAACTATTGAAGAAGAAGCAATTGGTGCCGGGAAATCGTGGAGAGAAGGGAAACCCCTTGCTGCCAATCGGGCCAGATGGAGAGCCAACATTATTATTATCATGCTGTTATTATGCTTCACCAGGAGCGACAAGAAATAAATCAAGTAACCAGATAGACTATATTTTGATGAATCAAAGTGTGGAAACCTACTCGGGTACCGAGATACAGTCTGGCCACAATCCACTTGTGGGATAATATAGAACGAAATTCACGATCATACTAAAAGCAAAAAGACCAAAGTATAATCTCAGGAAGCTTAGGAACGAGGTCAATGACACAGAAGAACAAATAAATACATTTAGTCAAGCAGCAATGTAAATCAAAGACAAATTCTTCAATGATGATAGAAGGAAACATAAATCATGGATAGCGGAGGTAATCTTGAAGCGCTTGTTCTTCAGAACAAAGGAACCAAAACAATAATCCACCACCATACAAAACCATAAAAAAACAACATACAAAGAAAAATTAGTGTAGCCAAATGAAAAGAGTTAGATGAGAAACAACGTAGAATTGAGACAAGACAAATTTAACGTACTCAATGTGCATAAGGTGAGAGAGGTTACGGAACGGTTCAGGAAGAGGACTGTTGGAAAACTTGGAAATGGTGCGCGAGAACTGATTGTGGGAAGAGAAGATATATTGGAGATTTACAAAAGATACATAAAACAATTTTTTTTCGTTGTAGGAGGAGTTCCATCATCCGACTGAATCCAGACCAAATTTCATGAGATGAAGTCTAAGTCGCCATTCACATTCTAAGAGAAGGAAAAGCTCCGAGACCAGTCGGAATCTACTCAGAATTCTTCAAGCTTCATGACGATAAATCCATTAAATTTTTGACTAATATATTTAATACCATCTACAATACTCGATATATCCCAAATGAATGGCTCGTCTCTGATTTCATACTGCTGCCAAAGAAACAGGGAGTTAAGGAATGTAGTAACTACAGAATCCTCAGCCTCATGAGTCACATGTTAAAGCTATTTCTTAAAATTATCTATGGGAGAATATACGGACATTGGGTTATAAGTGTTATTCCAACGTTGCAGAGATATGAACTGTGACGTTTTCGACTGCTATGTTGACTACAAGAAGGTATTTGGCAAGGTATGTCATGAAACGATGATGGAAGTTTTGAAGAACATGGACACGGCAAGGATCTTAGAATCATACGAAACCTCTACTGGAACCAATTAGCTACTATTAAGATCAATGCAGAAAAACACCACAGCGCAATTAAAATTCTCCGAGGCGTCAGGCAGGGCTACATTCTTTCTCCACTTTTATTTAATCTTTCCTCAGAAGAAATATTTAAGCAAACCCTAAAGAATACCAATGTAGGAATACTATTGAATGGAAAGTGTTTGAACAACTTGTACACTGATAGCAGAAAAAGCGTACAAAGCAGGAGAACAAAATAAGCGGCGTCAAAACCAATATGGCTTAGAGATTAACATTAGTAAGACAATTACTACTACTAGGTACGAGTTAATTGGTTAACAACACACCAGTAGAGAGAGTATCACACTTATCTTCCCTGTGGGCCTTGATTAATGAGAATTGAGATCATTTGTAGGAGATAAGGTGCAGAATAGAGAAAGCAAATGGCTAAACTGTTCAAAAGTCACAACATCGGCAGCAATATCAAAATCACACTCATCAGATACTATGTTTTCTTAGTATTTTTTATGCAGTGAAATCGTAAACACTAACCGAGATAACACAAAGAAGACATTGGTGGATAAAGTAACTAGTCTCTAAAACCTTCTGAAGTTCAACCTCGAAGGATATTCGAAACGAATAGGCACCCGAAAAAGAAGAAGATCCAGAATGAAATCTTCCCGAGTGATTACTTACATCATTTATAGTCATTTTGTTTAGGTTATCGAATTTTGATGATAAAGGTTCCAACTGTTTCATTTTGTCAGTAAGTTCATCAATTTTGTTTTTAAGTAAATTTACTTTTGACTCGAATTTTCGACACTTTTCAGCGTTTTCATTTAATTGAGTCCTTAAATTGTTCTCCGACATTTGACATTGATTCAATTCTTCCAATTCATTTGCAAGCTAACAAAAAAAAATAATTTTAACAAGAAGATTTCTAAAGGGATTTTAATAATAACCTTTTCATTAAATATGGTTCGCTTGTTATCCAACACTTCCAATTCTTGTTTTATCTTCTCTATCCTATGTCGATTATCTTCTTCGTCAGTCTTAATATTTTGCATTGTAACTTCTCGATCCAACATCTCTTCTAAATTGCGTTTGATTTGTTCACGACACGTAATTAAATTATTATTCAAAAAACTGGAAAATTTATTTTTTTCCGTTTCCAATTTCGTTCGTTCACTTACCGCTTCATTATGTTCTTTTTCTAATGTTTCAATATCACCTTTTAACGATTCAAGAATCGTTTGATGTTCTGCGGAAGGCTGCGATAAAAGTTCTTCTTTTAATTCCAACTCAAAATTTTCTTTACTGCTTTGCATCTGTTCAAATTTCGCTTTAAGTTGATATAAAGAATGTTCTTTTTGTACGCGAGAACTGTCGATATTAGAAAGTTCTTCTTTTATCAAAGTAATTTCCTTTTTTATTTTATCATAAGTTTCTCTGAAACAATAATAAAAATTAATATAATATGACGATAAACGATGAATTTATATTAAAAAAAGATTTACTTTGCTTTGGATTTTTTAATTTCGATTTTTTCCATTTCGGCAACTTGGTTGTTTATTGTCGTTTCAGTTTTGATAAGATCTTCCCTTATATTTTTCAATTCATTTTCACAGCTACTTATTTTGGAAATAATTTCGTTTCTGGTTGTTTGAATTTTAAGTTTCGAACGTGAAAAGTTAATGTAACCACCTGTTAATGTTCCTCTAGCAGTAATGAAATCCCCATCCAAAGTTACACAGTCCAATCTAACTGTTCTAGCAAAGTGCGTTGCATCTTCCACTGTTCGGCAAATTAACGTTTTTCCAAATATTAATTTCATAACTTTATCATACTTTTCATCGTAATTTAGTTTACACACTAACGGCAAACAATTCTAAAAAATAAAATAAAAAGAAATTATGTGATGCGTTAANGAATGGCTCGTGTCTGATTTCATACTGCTGCCAAAGAAACAGGGAGTTAAGGTATGTAGTAACTACAGAATCCTCAGCCTCATGAGTCACATGTTAAAGCTATTTCTTAAAATTATCTATGGGAGAATATACGGACATTGGGTTATAAGTGTTATTCCAACGTTGCAGAGATATGAACTGTGACGTTTTCGACTGCTTTGTTGACTACAAGAAGGTATTTGGCAAGGTATGTCATGAAACGATGATGGAAGTTTTGAAGAACATGGACACGGCAAGGATCTTAGAATCATACGAAACCTCTACTGGAACCAATTAGCTACTATTAAGATCAATGCAGAAAAACACCACAGCGCAATTAAAATTCTCCGAGGCGTCAGGCAGGGCTACATTCTTTCTCCACTTTTATTTAATCTTTCCTCAGAAGAAATATTTAAGCAAACCCTAAAGAATACCAATGTAGGAATACTATTGAATGGAAAGTGTTTGAACAACTTGTACACTGATAGCAGAAAAAGCGTACAAAGCAGGAGAACAAAATAAGCGGCGTCAAAACCAATATGGCTTAGAGATTAACATTAGTAAGACAATTACTACTACTAGGTACGAGTTAATTGGTTAACAACACACCAGTAGAGAGAGTATCACACTTATCTTCCCTGTGGGCCTTGATTAATGAGAATTGAGATCAAATGGCTAAATTGTTCAAAAGTCACAACATCAGCAACAATATCAAAATCACACTCATCGGATACTATGTTTTCTTAGTATATTTTATGCAGTGAAATCGTAAACTGAAAAGTAAGTGAAATCGTGAAAAGTAACTAGTCTCTAAAACCTTCTGAAGTTCAACCTCGAAGGATATTCGAAACGAATAGGCACCCGAAAAAGAAGAAGATCCAGAATGAAATCTTCCCGAGTGATTACTTACATCATTTATAGTCATTTTGTTTAGGTTATCGAATTTTGATGATAAAGGTTCCAACTGTTTCATTTTGTCAGTAAGTTCATCAATTTTGTTTTTAAGTAAATTTACTTTTGACTCGAATTTTCGACACTTTTCAGCGTTTTCATTTAATTGAGTCCTTAAATTGTTCTCCGACATTTGACATTGATTCAATTCTTCCAATTCATTTGCAAGCTAACAAAAAAAAATAATTTTAACAAGAAGATTTCTAAAGGGATTTTAATAATAACCTTTTCATTAAATATGGTTCGCTTGTTATCCAACACTTCCAATTCTTGTTTTATCTTCTCTATCCTATGTCGATTATCTTCTTCGTCAGTCTTAATATTTTGCATTGTAACTTCTCGATCCAACATCTCTTCTAAATTGCGTTTGATTTGTTCACGACACGTAATTAAATTATTATTCAAAAAACTGGAAAATTTATTTTTTTCCGTTTCCAATTTCGTTCGTTCACTTACCGCTTCATTATGTTCTTTTTCTAATGTTTCAATATCACCTTTTAACGATTCAAGAATCGTTTGATGTTCTGCGGAAGGCTGCGATAAAAGTTCTTCTTTTAATTCCAACTCAAAATTTTCTTTACTGCTTTGCATCTGTTCAAATTTCGCTTTAAGTTGATATAAAGAATGTTCTTTTTGTACGCGAGAACTGTCGATATTAGAAAGTTCTTCTTTTATCAAAGTAATTTCCTTTTTTATTTTATCATAAGTTTCTCTGAAACAATAATAAAAATTAATATAATATGACGATAAACGATGAATTTATATTAAAAAAAGATTTACTTTGCTTTGGATTTTTTAATTTCGATTTTTTCCATTTCGGCAACTTGGTTGTTTATTGTCGTTTCAGTTTTGATAAGATCTTCCCTTATATTTTTCAATTCATTTTCACAGCTACTTATTTTGGAAATAATTTCGTTTCTGGTTGTTTGAATTTTAAGTTTCGAACGTGAAAAGTTAATGTAACCACCTGTTAATGTTCCTCTAGCAGTAATGAAATCCCCATCCAAAGTTACACAGTCCAATCTAACTGTTCTAGCAAAGTGCGTTGCATCTTCCACTGTTCGGCAAATTAACGTTTTTCCAAATATTAATTTCATAACTTTATCATACTTTTCATCGTAATTTAGTTTACACACTAACGGCAAACAATTCTAAAAAATAAAATAAAAAGAAATTATGTGATGCGTTAAATATAAATATTCAAATTTAAGTTCTTTTACGGAATATGTTCACATTTCCTAGTAAATGTACATTTATCTTTGATTTATTAAATTACACTTTTCACAATGAATTACATGAATCACACATTATTAAAGTGTAATCAATATCATGATTATTCGGTAACGACAAAGCCGAGAAAATAAGGGTGGAACGTCGAATGTACAAACTGTACATTCGACACATTTGTACACACAAAATGTACAAAATGATGAGATCGATAGATATAGCGTAGATATAGTGGCGCTACAAGAAATCAGATTGAGGAATAATGGAACGATAAAAAAATTCAAATACAATCTGTAATACAGGTGTCCCCAGTGCGGTCAAGTTCTGACGAAAATGTGTCATTCCACGACATGTTGCTGGTACGAGAAGAAGTCTTAAAGAAAGCGAACTATGCCAACTCCCAGAAACGCTTAACCTTGTCATCAGCAGCACATACTTCGACCATAAAAGAATCCACAAGGGAAACTGGATAGTATCAAAAAGAAGAGCTTCCTCCATAACCGACGTTCATCACTGCCTACTACTTAGTAGCATGCTTAAAACAACAGATCAGCAATACACAGAAGGCGAAAGGATGGACAAAAAGTGGAATATCACCAGGTTGAAACTGGATGCTACTAGAGACAATTATCAAAGAGCTATGAATGAACAAATGAAAGTCAATAAGCAAAAATGTCTGATGACGTCGAGGAGGACTGGGATATACTAAAGGCTAGCGTAATAAGACGATCAGGCGAGAGAGCAGAGGGAGGAAGCACAAGAAGTAAACGAGAGGAGCATGCAACACAAAGAAGAAATGCAACGAAACTATGCAGAAGAGAGAATTCTCTTTTCTTTCTGTAACAGAAAAATACGGATGCTGCCAGATCACAGTAATAACAGGGAATACAGAAAATTCTACAGGGAAGCAAGTAATATTACTTCAGCGTTTAAACTAAAGGAAAGCAGCAGGGATAAGAATGGAAAGTTACTCATAGTGAGGAGAGCAACAGGACAGCGTTTTGGAGCAATGGAAAAAGTATTTCCAATAGTTACTAGCAGAAGCTCACGGTTATAGGAAGAGACCAAGTTGGATTACGCGACTGCTGAATCAAAATAATGGGTAAATCGAGAAAAGTATAAGAAAGTTAAAAAACAATAAAGCTAAAATAATGCCGCTTGGCAAAAAGGACTGATTATACCAATATACAGGGTGTCTCACGCAATGATGGGCGGTGGGTAAATACCCAACGGGTAGGTAAATAGAATTTGGGTGTATACCTGGTATACAGGGTGATTCAAAAAACCGCTGACAGACTTCTAGGGCAGGTATCATAAATTAAGATGAAAAGTCTTAATATACATGGGGTCGCAAATGCCTCCTTAACGAGATATAGCGGGTCAAAGTTTCTTGAAAATTAAACATTATCTGCAATAAAAAGCCCTTTTTTAAAAATATTTTCAACTCTACTGCTAATTTTGTCAAACGGGCAGTATTTTCGTGTAAAATGATCAATTATCTATCAATTGGTCTCTTACAAAACTTTGATTAAAGCAACAGTTTTTGATTGAATTAAAAAATTTTCTACAAATGTGTTTTTCTTAAAAACTATTACTTTGATCAAAGTTTTGTAAGGGACCAATTGATAGATATTGATCACTTAACACGCGTAGAGAGCAATGGCGTAGACAATATTTTTAAAAAAGTGCTTTGTATTGCAGATAATATTTAATTTTAAAGAAACTTTGATCCGCTATATCTCGCCAACGAGGCATTTGCGACCCCATGTACATTAAGACTATTCTTCTTAATTTTTCATATATTATCTACTCTAGAAGTCTGTCAGCGGTTTTTTGAATCATCCTGTATACCTACAAGGTGTAGGGTATATACTATATACTATGCTATTTGGGGAATATTGTACATATACCGGGTATATACCAGGTATTTACTATCTGGTCGCCGGGGAATCGCCTTATAAAATTAGGGTATTCCCCTAATTTCTGTCTTGTTTTCGATAAAATTTAGTGGTTAGTATTCGTTCATTTGTTGAGTTGACTGGTGGTTTTGTAACCTTTTATATACGTTTGATGTTTGATTCTTTAGTGGTTTTGTTGGTGTGGCTGAGGATTCTTTGTGCCGCTGCTGATATACATATAGGTATTAATGGTATTATAGGTAAGTGCTTACTAATTATTTGTTACTAAAACAGTAAATGTTCAATGTTTTTTAAGTTCAATTTATGATATGTAACCATAGAAACCATAAAAGTTACAACTTATGTTGGTGAGATTAAGTCTTTTCATGCGATGTTAACCGTGAAAGAGAGAATTTATTTAGTACTGTGCTATGGTACTAGTGAATCATGTTTTCGCGTAGCAAAAATATCCGGACACAAAAATATCATGTTGAAGCTCGCAAACTTATGAAAAAATTTTTGGAAACGGGTTCTGTATTATCCATAAAGAGGCAGACAAAGAGACTAAATGAGGAAGACGCTGCTTTTCAGATAGCTTTTCAACAAATGACATTGTTTCTTCCCAGCATTGTCGTTATTGAAGCGATGTAAATCCAATTACCCTTAAATTTTATACGGTCAATGTACTTTCAGCAAGACAGTTGCCCAGCTTACCATTCACACATTGTGTCAAATGGTTAAATTTACAATTTCGTCAAAAATGGATTGAACGAAATGGTCCTACAATTATGGATTTTTATTTTTGGGGACGATTGAAACAAATTGTTTACAGTGAACCATTACAAGATGATGCAGAACTATTAAAACTAAGAATAATTAAAGCGATAGAATCTCTACCACTGGCGGAAATTCGTACTTCTTATAAAAAATTTAGAACTCGTCTTCAAATGTGTGCCGAATTGGGGGGGAGTTTGTTTGAATGAGGATTTGTTCACTTACAAATAAATAATATTTATTACTTACATAGTGTGTTATTACAAAAATTTACATTTAAAATATTTTATTCGATTAGCCATAGTTTAATTTGATTTGTTGTTTTGATATTTTTCACTAACATATGTTGCATAAGTTGTAACTTTTATTTTATTTTATTGGTTTCTATGGTTACATATCGTAAAAAATTTTTAATTTAGGAAAAGTATAATTTTTACATAAAAATGGGAATAATTAGTTAACTTCTATAGTTAGAATATAAAGTTCTTGCGATTTAGTAGTTTGAATATATCCGACGCATTATTTATGCTGAGATAAGTTTGAAAAATCAGTAATAATTTTTTTTTCCTCTTTGTAACTCGATCCGGGGACATACTGTATAAAAATGAATATTTGTATATATTTGACTATTTCATTCATATCGTTAACAGCCAATAAGAAATCGCGGTTTTCCGTCAATTGCGAGTATTTCAGCGGTTATTTGGCCGTAACCATGGAGAACGATAATACGAACCTTTGTATTATCGCTGTAATACGAACCTTTGTATTATCGCTTGTTTGACATTTAATTAATTTCGAGACATCCATGCATGTTTCCATAACAATCAATGTAAATTATTAAAAAAATATAAAAATTCTAAAAATATGTATATTTTTTATTCATGAAATAGTCTAGCCATATACAACACGACAATCGAAAATACACGAATCTCGACGTATTGCCTTAAAAAACACCACTCGACCTTCGGTCTCGTGGTGTTTCAGGCAATACGTCTAGTATTATCGAGTATTTTCGATCGTCTTATTGTATAATATATGAATATCTGTATGTCCTTTATAGAATCGTAAACTATGCATGTGATCATGTGATGATCTTTAACAAAGTTGTTGTGCAAATTTTCTGACGGCGGGGGAGATTGGTCCATGGTATCAGATACGCAAAGACGTTGGTGACATTGTCTACGAACTGAAGAAGGATGTATTGGATTTGTGGCAGCGGGATTAGGATGATAGAAGCAGATTCAAGGGCAGAGCCTTATGGTTGATTGAGAGGGATGTCAGAGAAGGGGCATGATATAAGCTACTGCCTTCAGAATCTAAACACATGATATCATCAATTAATCGCATGAGAGTGGGACATGGCACATCTGTATAGGATTGGCATGGCGGATTCTCCAAACTGTAGTTGCGGAGAATTTTGTGATCTTAACCACATTATTTTGGCCTGTGAAACGTTTGAGTTGGATAGAAGTAGAATGTTTGTTAAGTTGAGAAGAGTTTACTTTTGGCGACCAATAACGCTAGAGTTTTGAGAATGATTTTTTATTTTTTGTGCAAGATAAGAATTTTTGTTTGATTTTATTTTTTAATGCATGTATGACTGTTCGGTAGATGTTCATCCTTTCGAGGGATTAACCGGGGGATGTACAGCTCTGTTCAGATTTAATGCGAATTGGCCGCTGTTAGCTCCGACATGACGCTGGTACTAGAAGAAGACGGAGACCAAGGTTTATATATTAAAGGTTGTCTAAGTATCTATGCTGCAATACTTTGATTTAGTTTGTGGGCGAGGGGCAAGAGCAGGAGTGTTTCGTGACATAAGCGATCGCGGATTGCGCACGCAACCTCATGGCCATGTGGTGCTCTGTGCATTTGTTTAATTTGAATTGCTTGGCGGTATTATTTTCCACATGTGACGTAATGCGCAGTATGGTTGCGTACGAATCTAAACAACCTCTTATATATAAACCTTGGACGGAGACATCTTTCACGATTTTTTATATGTTCCTCTAATAAATGATTTTAGAGTATTTCTATAAATAAAACGTCAGATAAAATTCATTCATGACCGGGTAGCTGTAAAAAACCCTAATTACGGAGCAATTGGCTACAACACGGTTACGATTTGCCCGTGAATATCTTGAGTATAATTGGGAACCAGTCATCTTCACAGACGAAAACATCTTCTGTTCGTCGGACGACCAATCGAAATTATGGCGAAGGGATGGAACCTGGTATGATGCTAATCATGT